ATAAAATGAATCAGAAAGAGCTAGATACCGTACATGCTTACATCGAGGAGAACCTGGCGAACGGGTTCATCGAACCCAGCGATTCTCCGTTCAATTCCCCGGTCTTGTTTGTCAAGAAAAAGAATGGAGACCTTCGATTTTGTGTAGACTACCGGAAATTAAACGCACACACGCGGAAAGATCGCTATCCTCTGCCCCTCATTGGTGAGACATTAGCCAAGATGGCTGGTTCTAAGAAATTCACCATTCTAGATGTCATCCATGCGTTCAACGGTGTCCGGATGCATCCAGACTCCGTGGGATGGACTACGTTTCGTACTCGATTCGGTCAATACCGTTACCGCGTGTTACCTTTTGGTCTGTCAGGTGGCCCGGCCACTTTCCAAAGATATATCAATTCGGTCCTAGGCGATCTGCTCGCTCGTTACGTTTCCGCATATATGGATGATGTATGCGTCCACTCTGAAGATAAAAGTAAACACGTGGCAGAAGTACGCGAGGTCCTTCAGCGTTTGGACAGGGCTGGACTGCAGGTGGATATTAAGAAGTGCCGCTTTAATCAAAAATCTGTTAATTTTCTGGGCTTCATTGTTAACAATTCCGGACTCCTGCCAGACCCGAAGAAGCTGGAAAGTATTCGCGCATGGGAGAGACCTACTAGCAAGACTGCCATTCAATCCTTCTTGGGGTTCTGCAACTATTACCGTAACTTTATAGAGAATTTCTCCCGGATCGCTAAGCCACTGTACAACCTGACAGCAATCCCAAAAGGCCAGTTGTTCCAATGGACCGAGCAAGCTGAAGAAGCGTTCCTTGCCCTGAACGAGAAATTGGTCAGCCCACCCATTTTACTGTACTTCGATCAGAAGAAGCCTACACGTATAGAGACCGATTGTTCTGATCTAGCAACAGGAGGAGTACTCAGTCAATTGCAGGAGGAAGGCGTGTGGCATCCTGTGGCTTTTCACTCCCGAACCTTGACTGGTCCGGAGGCAAACTTTGAGATCCATGATAAGGAGCTGTTGGCTATCATCCAATGCTTGAAAGAATGGCGCGCAGAGCTCACCAGCACCTGGGAGCCGTTCGTGATTCTGACTGATCACCGAGTTCTGGAATACTTTGGTCAGAAGCAGCTACTCAACGATAGGCAAATCCGATGGTCAGAGGTGCTATCGCAATTCAGTTTCGACCTTCAGTACCGACCAGGCAAGGAAAGTATTCTGGCAGACGCGTTATCTCGCAAGAAAGAACTTACCCCTACACAAAAAGCTGCAAAAGAACTGGAACGTACGAAAATCCTCCTCCCTCAAAAGAAAGTTACGTTGCCACATGACAGCAAGGTGTTAGCGCCCATCGACGAGGATCTGGATACTATTGATCGTATTTTTATGGCCAACCGAGCAGATCCCGATCTCGAGGATCTACGCCAGCAAGCACGACAGCGGGAAGAACCTTATTCTTTGGAACCTACCGGGTTGGTGCTTCATAAGGGACGCGTGGTGGTGTCAGCCAAAGACAATCTCCGTACTCAAGTGTTGAAGATGATCCACGAATCTACATCCACCGCTCATCCAGGACGAAACAAAATGAGGAAACTAATCGGCGACCGGTACTGGTGGCCACGATACGCAGCAGACATCGAGCGTTATGTGCAGAACTGCCATGTCTGCCGACGATCGCATAAGCCTAGAGACAAGACACCGGGCTTACTACAGCCTTTAGCCATTCCAGAACGTACATGGGATGATATATCGATGGATTTTCACGATGTGGGGGTACCAGACAAACGAGGGTTTAATAACATTTGGGTAGCTGTTGATAGATTGTCTAAACGCCAAATCTCCATCCCCACCACTAAAAGTGCTACAGCAAAGACTGCTGCAGACTTGTTCTACCGTTATGTCTGGCGATTCCGTGGCGCACCGAAGACCATTACCAGCGACCGCGGTCCGCAATTCATTTCGGATTTCATGGATGAGTTGTCAAGGTTAGCGCGCGTCAAACTCAAGCTATCTACGGCAGAACATCCGCAGACAGACGGCCAGACCGAAATTATTAACCAGATCATTGACCAGCGACTGCAACCATTTGTCAATTTCCACCAAGACGATTGGGCGGAGCTGCTTCCCGCTCTAGATGCTGCTGCGGCAGCTATTCCAAATGAATCTACAGGATTGTCGCCATCAATGATTGACTATGGTTACGAAATGCGTTTAGAATTTGACTGGAATCAGCGACTGGAACCACGAACCCCTCGAGAGAAGCTGAATCGGGACGAGGCCGCGGTGTGGCTTAAACGGATTAGCAGCGCGTTGGATTATGCTAAAGAGAGCATCAAACGCTCACAGGAACAACAGCGTGTTCAAGCCAATAAACATCGCCGAGAAGTAGACTTTGACGTTGGAGATAAAGTGTATATCCGGCGCGGTGCTTGGAGAACTACGAGACCGTCGGATAAGCTGGAAAATCCAATGGTGGGACCATATCGGATCATTGCCAAAGAAGGGCATTCATTCCGCGTTCAACTACCCGCCTCTTGGAAAATACACCCTGTATTTTCACCAGACCGACTGCGCAAAGATCCAGATAACCCGTTGCCCGGCAAGGCCAATCCAGAGCCGCCGGCAGAAGAGGTCAATGGAGAGTTAGAATGGGAGATCGAGAAGGTGTTAGACGCGCGGCTGTATCGCAATCGGCTGCAGTACAAGGTTCAATGGGAAGGCTGGGACGCAGACGAGGAATGGTATCCGGCTGCCAACTTTCGGAACGCACCCCTCATATTAGAAAAGTTCCACGCTGAGCACCCTAAATTGCCAGGGCCACCAAGACGTCTCGCTACGTGGTTGGACGATGCCGCACATGATAGATTTAGTGAGGAACATCCGGAAGATAATATGGTGACCAACCAAGGACGTGACAACCAACGCCGCCGCAGAAATTAGTCGATTTGGGACAATCGAAGGCTGAGGAGGGGGTGATGTCACGGCACGGCATTCTGCTCCGCCATGATATACAATTACGTGGAGGGAGGATGTGAGACTGATGGCTGATGCAGGAAGGAGCACGGACGCGGCGATTTAGTGGAAACCCGCCCGAATAGGAATAGCCTCAGGGCTTTTTGTAATGAGATCCTGTTCTTTTCTATTCTTCTCCAGCTTAGTATTTGCTTCACAGATTGAATTATCGCCATACAAGCTGTACTTTCACTTGTGCCTATTCTACGCCGTGACATCGGGCTCAAGTTCTTCTAATAGGGTTTTGTTATGAATCTACTTATTGGCAGATTTCCGAAGCTGTTAAGCTGCAGAGGTCGAGTCGATTTCGACAAAGACAAATTATCAAAGGTTCGAGGTTACAAAGTTACGAAGGTCGAAGGTCGAAGGTCGAAAGTGCAAAGGTATGAATGAAGGTAATCAAGGCGCAGATTATCAAAGTTACGAGTTCATATGTTCAGATTATCATATTATCAATATATCTAGTTCCCAATAAGCAAATTATACAATAAACGTAAAAGTAACAAAATTGTTAGAACTAAAGAACAAATTCAAATTTCCAGCCTGAACAAATCCAAATCCCGTAGCCTCAGACCTAACCGAATTAAGAAGATAACCCCTGCATCACCACATCCAGACTAAATATAACAAATTCATAACAGCATGTGCGTGGTAATATGGTACTATATGCAAATGTAGTGAGAGATATGGTCACGTTTATTTTGCAACAAATAGGATGGCGTTAATGGTGCGGGGTCAGTACTGTTTTATTCCCTGCACAATGGTTTTGTGGTCAGCTGTGCTGAAGACTTTTCACTGTAATAATTGTTGTTTGCAAACCCACTTTAACTCTAGGATATGCGCACATAAATTCGTGTTTTACATGTAACTTAGAACTTTAATGGAAACAATATTCATTGAGCTATACTTTCTGCTCCTCTTACTATGAAATTGCAACAGATTTTTGCATTCTATTTTACCGGTAATCCAATCAATGTTTGGATTTAGGCGTTGCAACCATGGGTAACCTAGTATGACATCTTGATGTTTCAATGGAGCTGGTACAAAGGATAATATACCTTTTGCGAGGTCGTTAAATTTACATTCTATTTCTACAATTCTTGCTTTATCACTACGCATAATGATGTGGCCGTCTGCAGCAATAATTGGTTGGGACAAAGGAGTAGACTTTTGGATTTGAAGTTCTTGTAAAATATTTTTATTGATGAAATTATCTTCTGCGCCACTATCTACTAATGCATGCACTACCTTTCCACCCACTGACCCTTTGACTTTGAGTTGAGGACGTCGAAGTTCAATCCTAGGTGTGAAGTCAGTGGGGGAGCGCCAGGCTTGCAATTTAGCAGAGTAGGGGGTGTGAGTACGTACATATTCGTTCTTGTGGTGTAAAGAGGTTGCTGTGTCTGGCTCGTTTGCCGTGGTATTGAGGCGGTGTTGTCCCTTTGTGAGCTGACATCTTTCCACCAAATGCTTGTTTGCTCTGCAGTATAGACAAAGATTATGGGTTTGCCAAAGGTTTCTCTCGGTATCCCTCATCATCTATTGGCAAAAATTGAGCACAACAACATACAAATTTACTATTAACTTTAAAGCTATTTAGATAGTTTTAGCTGTCCTTCATAGTCATAGACTCAGTAGGGACATAAATAAAATTCTATTCTATTCTATTCTCTTGGTATCTGTAAGGGAAGGGCGTGGGCCTGTATGGCAAGCTCCGTATTGTTTTGTTGTTTCTTCAGCGCGGACGGTAGTTGCAGGGGTGGCAATGGGTGTGTAAGTGTTATGAATTCGTTGTAGATACTTTGAATAGGGTGGCGCACGGGCTATTTCGTGAATTTGGTTTGAGCTAGGCAAATGGAGCGTAGACTATGTTGGTTGGAAATTTAGAAATTGCTCCTTAGTTCTAACAATTTTGTTACTTGATACATGACCTTGTACCCTTCAGTACTCAGAATTTAATAAAGCTACTTGCTCAACTATTCGTGATTAATCCGCTACCTTTGAACCGTTGCCTCGCCGAAACTGACTCGACCTCTGTAGCTTAACAGCTTCGTAATTCAGCCCACAAGTAAGTTCATAACAGTAAGTGCGTGACCGTGCGGTACGTTCCCCTTTACGCTCTAGGTAGATATTGCTGTCTACCTCTACCCCAAGTTTCCGGACCATTTCATAGTCCTTGCGGTCGAGGGTTGGTTGACAGTTTAGCGCCTTTCTGATCTCGGGCTGCATTTGATGCAGGAACTGGAGTGCCATGACATTGGGGAGGTAACCCAAAGCATTGGATGCTTCTTCGAATTGCGTCGCGAAGATGGCAACAGAACCTTTTACATGTCTAGTCATGTACTGGTCTTGCATACGCGAGATGTACTGCGCGTCTTGAAAGGTTCTAATGAACTGTGCAATGAATTCAGCATAATCATCAATGAGATCTTCACAATTGCCGATGATGATTGCATTCATCCAGTTTGCAGCGCGACCCGAACAATGCTCCGCAATCTCTGTGAGGCGCAACTCTAGAGTGCTGAAATCTTCGGGGTATTTGACAAAACGGAGATCCATAGCGGTGGACCAAGTCTTGAAATCTGCGTTGCTTCCATCGAACTTTTCGATCTTAGTTGGCTTCAAAGGCGCATTTTTCCGTGATGGCGGGGCAAATTTTTTAACCTTTTCATTGAAAAGGGGAAGCTCTTCGGGTATCTTCATACTTGCCATGGTGTCTTAGTGTATGGTCCTTCTTATGAATCGTCCTGTTGCGGGAGTTCGGGGATTGGTGAGTTCTCTGAGAGTATTAGTCTCCAAGGACATTGTCTTCGGTAAAATTGGGGCTATGGGGCTATGGGACTGTGGGACTGTGGATGACTCTGAAAGTGTAGTGCGTGGGTGTGTGAGTGAATCAAGTAGGCTGGGTCTCTGAAAAAGATAGCCAAAATCACGAGGTATGAAAATGATAGACAGGCAGCCTTAAAAATGTAAGATAGATTGGCTATGGAAGGAGAAATAGGAGTAACTACAGCGAGCTCTTGTGAAAGGACTACAACAACACGATGAAGCAAGGGTATGAAGTCCAAATACTGTCTATTTTTTACATGCAAGAGAGACTAACTAATTCTAGAGGGAAGGTCTTATTATATCTCCTAACCATTGGTAAAGTCTATACGCTTGCTGTCTGACCTCCCCGGTAGGAGATTATGAGGCTAGCAGTTCAAGGAGTCTACGCTCAACCTGCATGGGTTCTAATTCCTTGCCTGGACCTTGTTGACTAGGGTTGGAGGTCATTATTCTCCCAAACATCTAACCTTCCACTTCTTACTAGGATCAGGTGCAGCCCATAACAGCTCTATATACATGAGGTTTGGGTCTGTGCTGAGTAATGCCAAGACTAGATTGGCATTCATGTCAAGTGTAGGTGTTTCATGTTCAAGCACCTACACTGCCTTGCTCATTACATGTTTGGAGCCCTGAGGGCGTAATTATCTGAGATATTTAATCTAGGCGCTGTAAATGAGTGTAAAATAGCTTGATCAATCAAATAGGCTACAGCTTTCTTACCACCAATTTCTTCAACAAGGTTTCTGGATTGAAGAAATTTGTCATCAGAGTTGTGATCTGGCCCGGTCTCTAAATGGGATTCAAAATCCGTCAAAAATATGTCAAGGCTGTCTTCCAGCCATTCTCCTTCAATTTTGATTACGAATTGCCTAATCTCCGTGTCTGGCTTCATAGGGTACTGTTGCTTAATTTGGTTAAATACTTTCTGCCTTTCTTCTTTTTAATGATTGGTTGACCAGCAGTTTGTTTTGTGAAACATTAGGCATTTCTTAACCCATGTGTTTGACTGTTTGGGGCCAGCTTTGTTGCTGTTTGAATCATTGGTTCCTTAGGTCAATTGTCCACTACCTCTATTTTTGCCTCTGTGTCTGCCGAAGTCTAGTGCAGTGTTATAGTGGCAGTCAGCCATGTGGATACCACTTGAATTTGTATGGTCAGGGTAGTTCATTTGTTGGTGATATTGAGACGATGGGTTTGACAGAGATTTCTGATCTAGAGCACCATACATGTTATTTAAAACACCTTCGAAAGTCTATGCAGGTCAATATAGGGCAAACTCAAGTTCTGTAATCCTAGAGCATGACGCTACGAGGCGGTTGCGCAATGCTCTATTGCCTTGGTGATCTATCAAACCTCTTTAGATTCTGCGAAACTCCATTTCTAACCATTTAAGATTGTTTTTGACTCCATCTTCCGGGTACGCAGCGATTCTTGTAGGTAAACTTAGATTTAACCAACTTATCTCCCGTCTATTGCGCCATTGATCGGTCTCATAATGAGTCTTCATTGCTCTCCAGAAATCTTCAAATGTCATCTTGTCATGATCAAGTGTCTTGTCAAGGTAGATACTTCTTGCAGCGCCAGTAAACATATGAGAGAGTGACTCATTAATGTAACGACCCTCAACACATGCATCTTTAGAATTATTGCGAAAAACCTTTAGCTTATAGTCAAAGCTGTTGAGTCCATCTGCATATTTGTCAGATTCTTTGTAAAGTCTTGCAAGTGATTAAAGTTGTTTATTTATAGGTTGGTGATGATCTTCCCATGGTTCATCCCTGATTGGTCGAAAAAATGAGCCCTTTTGTCCTTCTATCTCATCAATTCCTTCCTCCCCTGTAGATTTATCTTTTCCTTGTTCCTGTTCTTTATCCTTCTGATAATATTATTTTTTGTTGGCTCCATATATCCTGTTGATTTCCATTCTTACCCTTCCATTACTGTAAAGGGCCCAGCTGTAAAATTCTTTATCCGTCCATTCATGGTATGCCTGAGCAGAGAGTGCTTCTATTAACTGGGCTGAGACATCCCCATGACTGCCTGGTTGCGTGGGTGTCAAATATACTCCATTTCAGACGAGATGGTTACAAAAATCTCGTCTTTGTTTTGCAGTGGCTTTGTCAAAGTGAATCTTTTCCCAATTCTCGAATTCTTCCTTTAGTACTTCCCAGAGGTTTTCATCTCGGAATCTAAATTGTCGCCATTGTGCAATCATTCTTACTAGAGATCGATCTATCTCCTCCTGGGTTGCTGTTGAGAGATCTTGGATGACTGGGCGTGGGTTTGACATTGTTGTTTGCTCCTGAAAAACGGGTATAGTAACTCCAGGATGCGGGAACAAAGGTGGTGGTTGCGTGACAGACGCTTGATTTAAACGGCTCTAGGAGTCCAGATAAATCTGGGGGATTGACACGTTCCCAACTAAGGACGATGTTCCTTCAATGAATACTTCATGAATCTGTGAACCGTTGATATAGGCTCACTGATCAGTATCAGTATAACAGCGGCTTGGAGATTTAATGTGCTAGCACAAATGTTCTGGTAACAGATTGTTTTTGTAAAAAATGTCTATGTATTCTATCTAACAAATAGGGCTTTTCCCTCACTGTCCATGAGACCAAAGTATAAAGTTGAACAGTTGGAACTCTAAATATGTAGCTAGTATCTTATTTGTAGATTCTAGGCGTCCTCAAAAGTCTTTGACTCAGTTAGGACTATAATACAAATCTTACCTAATCAAATCTAATCTAATCTATCTAACAAACGCATAAGGAAAATGATACCTGAACCAGTCTACAAGTTGGCCTTAAAAATTAGGTTTACACATGATAAAATCCCTCATAGTTATCATTTGTTCCAACACCCATCTTTCAAACCTTTAGTTCCTCATAGTTATCTGCAGTAGACCTTCAGTCATCTCTATTAGCCAGGAGGGCTTCCCTTTTCGATGAGTCAACGGCATTCCCCAGCGCCCTAGATGGCACAAAAGAAGCTAGGCTAAGCTACTATACAGCAATCATGCTCTGTCAAGACTTTTCTGACATTATACCACGACCTTCGGGAAGGAGTTGGAAGGAGGCTAGAAAGGCAGAGTAGGAATTCTCCGAGGTACCCACAAGTCTGCAGCGCCTAGCTGGCCGGCCTCTTCGAACGCTTCAGAAGGGGCAATATGTTTTCGGATTTAGTCCAAATGTCGGTATTAGGAGAGCTCCGCACCGAGTGGTTTTTGCGATTTTTCCTGACTGCCATACACCCGCAAATGGCCATTGTTTTGTTGGCTGCAGAGGGGAGATAATGAAGGGCAATGGGCTCCTCTTAGTGTATGATCGAATGAGGACTTATGAGGGGTGGTACTGTTTGAGGGGAGCTGTATGGGAGGCATAGGAGGGGATATACTACTGGTATAGGTATCCTTGGCCTGTAGGCAGAGAGGACCTACATGTCCTACATAGTCATAGACTCAGATAGGACAATAAATTGAATTAATCAGTTATCTCTTGCGATCAATCCGGCTTCTTCTAGCCCTACAATTCCGCTTCAGCTCAAATGCCTACGCTCCAATCTGACATATGTTATTCTTGGGATTTCACGGACCAAGGGCCTATTCTGAGCCAACAGGAACTATGCACAAAGATATCTGTGGCTTTCTGCTAATGTTCTATCCTTATCTGTTCTGTTCTACCCTATCTTACTCTATTCCATTCCATTCTAATTGTAACAGCTAAGAAGCCGGTATTTTCCTGTAGCCAGTAATAGCAAGTACTGGCGTATAACCACCAGGGGGTGGGCCGGCGCAATAGCCTGCAGAACATACCAGAACCACTGTCAAAGGTACTAGATAAGATTCGACATGAACAAGACTGTAACTGAGACTTGGAGAAGCTACTAGAAACCATATTCTCAGAGTTGCAACTGGAATTATCTAGAAATGAACTTACCTTAGATGGAAGGGCTTGGAGTGTAGTAATCTGTATAAATACCTGGCTAAGTATCTCTAGCTTAGTTCTACATAGTTGAATTGTTAATATACCATCATCCATACAAATTCTCCCTGCTTTCTATAGTTGATCTGTGACACTAATCTGTTCTGTTCTGTTCTGTTCTGTTCTGTTCTGTTCTGTTCTGTTCTGTTCTGTTCTGTTCTGTTCTGTTCTGTTCTGTTCTGTTCTGTTCTGTTCTGTTCTGTTCTGTTCTGTTCTGTTCTGTTCTGTTCTGTTCTGTTCTGTTCTGTTCTGTTCTGTTCTGTTCTGTTCTGTTCTGTTCTGTTCTGTACTTGTCTAGACTATTCTATCCTGTGTGAGAGTATACTGGAAAGTTCGAGAAAAATAGAGAGGAATATATAATGAGTACTTGGGATGACTATGGTTCGGCAGATTATGGTCTTGTATTCTTAGGAACCTTTTGGCAATATTGAATTTGTGTACATCTTGACCTTTTGACATTTTGATCTTTTGACATCTCTGAATATTGATTTATTGAACTCTCAACACCTTGACATGAGATTCCAAGATATATCATATTTCAACAGCACCTTGGGGAAAAAGTTTGGTTTAACTCAAAGAATATCCAATCACCACGACCAAAAAAGAAGCTAACTTGGATGAACACAAAGAATACAGTAAGAAAAGTTATCATGCCACACGTTGTTGAGTTGGATGTATCATCTAAAATTTGGCCTTGTTTCCTAGTTGACTTCGAAGTGCTAGTAATGATCCGCTACTGTTGCAATGGCAAGATGATTTGCAGCCCATATCTATAAGGTTCGTAAGATAGATTTTATTCACAAACTATCTAGATCTAGGTACAAAAGAGAATCTTAAACTGGAGAGGAAATTAACCAGGGGAACCCACTATATGAATGATCTGGCTTTATG